TTTCAATTATATTTGCAACAAAATTTTTCTTGGACAGAGGAATACAACACAGAATCAGAGACCTTAAGCACTAAAAGGATCTATCTACCCTAAACTTCACATTTTATAAAAGAGTCAGTAGGTCTGTGAGACTAATCTGCGTACTTCCCACAAAGCTACAGAGTAGTAGAGCTAAGAACAAGAGCACAGATACATTCATATTATGCTCTACAGCTTTCAGTATGGTCTTTCATCATCACAGATGAAGATAGATCCTGGGACTAGATCTTCTTTCCTTAATTACAGAAATACTCATTAACATACTGTGATTTTCAGCTAATCTACAGCGTGCACTGTAAGACAAAACAGGGTAACACTCGAAGAAAGCGAAGGTAGCATTCTAGGTGATAGGTTTGTAAACTCTCTTCAGAATAATTACGAAGTTTCAAATACATGAATGTATAGAAAAATACCTTTTGACATATACTAACCTTACATACTGACGAATGAAAATTAGGATGTTGTATGTATCTTTGAAAGCTCACAAATATGCTTTATCTACATAGCCAATATATTAAGGTGATTCGATGACTAATGTACATTACATGAGATCCTCTGCATATATTATAGCAAAAGATCTCATGATATTTGATGTATGCCCACTGAGTTTTAATTTGATCAGGAGAAAAGCCATGAAATGTTAGAAGTGGTGACATTTCCATATTGTTTATACTTAAAGAACGCTTTCTTATAGATATTTAAAGTTGCCAATGAGATAGTACTTCATTTTACTCTATTAAAAATTATTTAGTATGTGTTTAAAATGGATTGAGTATGCAAGTTAAACTTTAATCAAATTTACATTTTAAAAACCTATTAAATAACCCTGTGAGAAACTTACATTATCACCAGTAATGCCCTCCCCCAAAGACCAAGAAAGAACAAGTGTGTGTGGAGTTCTAAAACGCTTAATTTCTTCCAGGAGAATTTACTATTTTGTATCACCAACTATACATTAACTTACAGAAAGAATACTTGAAATGACAGGATATTAATTTATAAGGACATTTTCTAGAAAAGCATAGTGTCAAGTATTTTAGAAGTAGTTCAGGGCCTACAAACTGCCATTTGAGTTGAAGTGAGCCCATCTTTCCTTTAAAATGACAAGAGGGTAGGATCTTACTTAAAAAGTTGTGTCTAAAAAAAAAAGGGCACCTGGGTGGCTCAGTTGGTTAAGCGACTGCCTTCGGCTCAGGTCATGATCCCGGAGTCCTGGGATCGAGTCCCGCATCGGGCTCCCGGCTCGGCAGGGAGTCTGCTTCTCCCTCTGACCCTCCTCCCTCTCATGCTCTCTGTCTCTCATTCTCTCTCTCTCAAATAAATAAATAAATAAAATCTTTAAAAAAAAAAAAAAAGTTGTGTCTAAGAAATCTGGCTTTGAAATAGAACAGCAAGCCCAGCATACTCCTACTGGGTTCAGTAGTGCCTTAGGGATCTCATTCTAGCCAGATGACAAAGTTAGATGAAAGACTCACTATGTGGACTATGGTTTCCTCTCAAGGCCACCTGGGTTCACGGCTAGTCCTTCAAAATAGTACACACAGGACCTGAGGTGCACAGTGGCTAGTCCTTCCAGCAAGACCATCCCATCAAGCCCTCTAACCCTGCTGGAGTCAGCCATCCCAAGAAGACTGAGACTCCCAAGGCCATCCATCAGGATCTGGGTTCTTGTCCCCACAGGGTATGGGTACATCCCCTAACCTGACCTTATGCCTCCCACCCTCCCCAACTCAAGAAAAGACTTCCACTGCACACCTGAAGAACTTAGGGCATGGGGCACCTGGGTAGCTCAGTCGTTAAGTGCCTGCCTGCCTTCGGCTCAGGTCCTGATCACAGGGTCCTGGGATCAAGCCCCCGCATCAGGCTCTCGGCTCAGTGGGGAGTCTGCTTCTCCCTCTCCCTCTGTCCCTCCCCCTGCTTGTGCTCTGCCTCTCCTCTCTCTCTCTCAAATAAATAAAATCTTAAAAAAAAAGAGAGAGAACTCAGGGCATACCATTAACAAATCCCATAGATTCTCAACTTCATCTCTGAACATTCCTTCTCTTGCCTTAATTCAGTGTCTCTCAATCCTGACTACACTTCAGAATCATGTGGGGAGCTTCTTAAAACTCCCAAAGCCTGGGCCTCCCACCACACCAAAATCTCTGGGGGTGGGACTCAGACCTCAGTAGATTTAAAGCTCTCCTCCAGATGATTCCTGTGTGCACAATGTGAATACCACTGGGCTGATACCCTGTGCTCTCCCATAGGGGCTGCTCCCCCAACAGAACTCTCTTGTCAGGGGGCCCTTCCTCTCCCAAAGCTCTGGCACCATTGGGCCTCAAGTGGGCAGGCCACTGGCTCTTCACTGCCACATCCACTCTCCCCTAAAATCTAGCTTTCTAAATTTCAGACAGTTCCTTGAACACATGGGGATCTCTTGCATGCCTGCCTCCTTGCATTTGCTTTTTCTCTACAGTAATGCTCTGAACCCCTCAGCCATCTGAAAAGAAAAGTTCTCTTGTTTAAAACTCATTTCACTGGTCACCTTAGCCCTTCCATGAAGCCCTCTTGGTCTAAGCTTAAAAGTATTGATCAAATGCTTCCTCCACAGTACTTTCACCCTACAGTGCTATTTTAGTACTCACTGCATTGCCAGTGAGAAGCACTTGCCATTATAAGGTAAGAAATTAGTGGTATCAACAGGAAAATTCTGAGCACATTAGTCTACAGGGAGCCCTAATTCATCGAATGTGGTGCTAATATAAAACTGAAAAGATGGGGCACCTGGGTGGCTCAGTCTAGGTTAAGCATCTGCCTTCGGCTCAGGTCATGATCCCGGGGTCCTGGGATCGAGCCCCGCCCGTATCGGGCTCCCTGCTCAGTGGGAAGCCTGCTTCTCCCTCTCCCTCTCCCACTCCCCCTGCTTGTGTTCCCTCTCTCACTGTGTCTCTCTCTGTCAAATAAATAAATAAAATCTTTAAAAAAAAACTGAAAAGATTATCCTTTGTACCAAAAAAACTTTTTTGATGAAGATTATTGCCATAAGAAATTTGGCATGAGATCAATACAATTAAAGAGATTTAATTATTGGAGTACCAAATAGGCCCTTAGCAGAGAACTGATGGCATTTTACTCAGTTTATATGCATACAAACAGTGAGCTACTAAGTTTAACTCTCATGTTAACTCTGCTCCATATGAAACAGTTAACTCTAACTGCTTTTTAATCATTTATGTTATGAATCAGTCTTTTTTAAAAAATTAATAAATGTGTCACCTCTTCTGAACTGAGCCAAAATACCATGCCTTGGTCTCTAGCTTGTCCTCAGGAAAACATGGAACACAAACCATTTGACTCTTTATATAGTCACTTGGTCCCTCTTGGTCTTACCTATAGTATGCAAAATAAAAAGATCTGTTTCTTTGAATTTATTCCTTTTCCTAACTCTAGGGCCCCATTTGTATAATTTACTCCAGATGTCCATATCATCACACTAGTGCTTAGTATTAAGGGCCAGCTAAACTGCATTTTATGCTGAAAACCTATACTTCATCTCTCTTACTTGGTAAAGTAGAGATATACTTCTAGCATATGTAGAAATGATCTCTATATACCTTTGTGGACACATCTGCAAATGTACAAATGCTTTTCTCTCACATACTTAAAACCTCGAAGGACATCACTGACTGGCCACATAGTTTTTTAAATAGTTGTTCCTTTTTAGGGAACAGAATGTTTTCTTGTTTATTATAATGTAGTCTTAACCATTTATCAAGTTAAGTAATATGAAAATTTTAAACCCAGGGGTGCCTGGGTGGCTCAGTCAGTTAAGTATCTGCCTTCGGCAGGTCATGATCCCAGGATTCTGGGATTGCGTCCCGGGCTCCCTGCTCAGTGGGGAGTCTGCCTCTCCCTCTGTACTCGAGCTCGCTCTCTCTCTCTCTCAAATAAACAAAAATCTTTTTTAAAAAAAAGAAAAATTTAAATCCAAAACCTTTTTATCTTAATCTCTTCTCAGAGCTACTGATAAATTTAAGATTTAAATTATACCAAGCTTCCTTGTTTCTCCCCTAGGTACTACAGTTTAAGCCTCGTAAAAAAGACTCTGAGGTTAGGTGTATATATTTTTTTTCCAAAATCAGGTCGATTGTCCATATATAACAAGGAACACTCAAAAAAAAATGTTTAACAGAACAAAAGAAGAACTCAAAGTTTGCTATAATAAAGCTTGTGGTAAAAATGACCTCATGAGAGAGTAAGCCAGAAGGAAAAGAAAAGCAAATAAAAAAAAAAAAACAAAAAACAGAACAAACTGAAAACATGACAACTAGAAATCTGAAGCTAACATGTGGTAAACTTTCTTTTTCAGTTTCAACTCTTCTAGGGAAAACGACTGGCCTAAGATATAAAAATTTAACTTTAATCACATAATATAGAGAGGAGGTGCCAGATGAAAGCAGTTTGGAAACGTCCTTACCAATATTTTAAAGCTGGGGAGAATAACGTTCCCTAACCACCAAGCCCTCAGGGGACTGTTAAGTCTTGTATAAAGAAAGAGGTGAATGGTCACACACACTACGAAATTGCAAGCTTTACCAAAATTGACCAGGTTTCTTTACTGTAGGACTTCAAACCCTTTAATGAGCCCATACGCACCGTGAATCTTCACAAGCGGGCACTGAGGCAGCAGCCTACAAATTTGTCTTACCACAGAGCCCTGTTAATATCTCCCAGAAGACCGCTGTATCACAAGCAGTGTGGGAAAGACCAGAATATACAGGTGCCCCACCCACATGGTTAGCTGAGCCTCTCCCAGGGCCATTGGGAATTTGACACTGCACAACGACTAAATACAGTCACGTGTTCAGCACCCAGGATTTCCTCTGTTCAATGTGTGTGTCCCACTTACAGTAGAGGAAAAGGGGAGAGTAGGCGGAGGGAAGTGGAGAAGGGCTTTTCTGCCTGCATTTCTTACACACCTGTTTCTGTAGTCTGAAATCTCCAAAGTTAGGCAGCTGAGTTGGAGGCTTGGGCTGAGCACTGCACTCACTGTTTACATTGTGATGGGAAATCTGGTAGACAAAGAAGCAGTCTCATTCATTAACAGTGACTTGAGAATTCCCAGCCCCCCATCAGATCCTTGGTCACTAAGACCCCAAGCAGGCAGGAAGCCCACCTCAAGCAGGTCAAATGAGGACTGCTGATAGCAGCAACGCATTTCACAACCAGGAAGTCATTCCTGTTACTTGTACAGTAGAAGGTAAGGAAGTGGATCACAAAAGCCCTTTCAGACAGGTCTTGCATGCATTCATCCGGGTGGCTCCCAAGCCCCAGTTTGAAACCAGTAGCTGGTAGATAACTGCCTCCCGAATGCCCACTATTTTGTTGTGACAAAGCCCAGGTTTGCTGTTGGTGCCAGTCAGGAGTTTGGTCTCATCTAGGTCCTCCACAGGGGGCACGTAGTGAAAGCCTCACCCGCTAGAGCAACAGATCACTGTCTTACTGTATACATAGATGCTTCAGCTCCAATGATGGGGAGGGCAGGGACCTTTAGGAGACAGACCTCAGTTTGGGAGCTGGCTCTACCTATTTACTAGCTATGTTACCTTGGCTGACTTGCTTAACCCTGTATGCTTCAATTTCCTCATCTGTAAAAAAATAAAAGCTATTAACACCTACTTCAAAGGATTTTTGTGAAGATTAAATAATGCATTGAAAGCACTTAGCACAATACCTGGTCTACTGCAGATTCTCAATAAACAGAGCTATTCATTTAAATGAGTAGAAATTATAATCAGGGAAAAGCTTAGGATGGAACTAAAGCTTGCCATTAGATATACAGCAGGGACTTAATAAATACTTGTTGACTGATTAATCAACAACTTTTAAAGCCAATCCTGGAGTATTAGAAAGGGGGTTCTCACTCGTTTATATGTGAGTCAGGAAGAACAGGGCTTTTAATTACTCTTCAAACTGAGGAAGGAAAGCAGTACTCATTGTATTTGCACCTCAAGGTTGAGCAGATGCTAAAGATGATCTAATTCTCTAAAAGAAGGACAAGCAAATGTTCAAAGTGGTTTCAGTGACTCAGTAAGTCCTAAGATGTGCCATGTGGAAAGGTATGTTCTGAAACATCTAGAGCAATAAGGCAAAAACTAGGACTGTTAATACAGAAATTTCCCAACATTTTCTGCTGAAAGTTAGAGGGCCTTTAAAGACAGGAAGTCTCTTCAGCAGCAATTACTGAAAAGAAGTATCTGTAGTGCCTTTTACCACACTCTGCAGATTTGCTGCTTGCTTCTCATTTCCAACTCTACAAGGAGTGTTGATGAATAAGGCCATAGTAGCACATATAAATGAGGCAGAATTAATTCACAAATGAAACAGATTTTTGTGACACACTCTCCCAAGTCCTGCTGTTTCAGCTTATTGTTCCAAAGGAAAATACCATCCTAACGATAAAGAAAGCACTGTAGGTCCAAACCACAGCACTAACACCATGGTGATGACCATTAATTATGGAGAATTAACACAGCTCCTAAAATACTGATGAAAATATACACACCCAGACTGTACATACTATACAGAAAAACCATGTCCCCAACCCCCCAATTGGAGAGATACCCATTCTTCTACGCCTTTCTCTATCTGAAAATGACATGCAACCTTCTATGGCCAAAGGTAAACCAGTATGCATTTGTTTGGTTGCTTATTGAGGAAACTTTCCCTTTTCTACATGAGGCTGGGAGACTGGCTGGATAAGAGGAAATGCAACCACTTTCTGCTCTCTTTGTCCAGATGCCATCTTGGGAATGTGACCAGCCAGTTCTGTGGCAGTCAACCCTTGCAAAGGAAGCACAGTGGCAGGACAATTTCACTATACCCAACAGTTCACAGAAATCAACTTCTGTTTCCTACCTGTGATGGACAAGGTCTTGGAGGGAGCGCAGGTGGTGGAGGTAACAATCCTGACTTAGTAGCTGAAAAGAAAAACATACGCTGTTAAGAATTACCAAAAACACATCAGGTGCTGCATTCAGGGTGGGGTCTGCTTGAGGTAGTCCTCCCCCTCTCCCTGTGCCCCTCCCCCCCAAAATAAATAAATATTTAAAAAAAAGAATTACCAAAAACAAAATACCCTTTCCACTTTTTAACTAGGAATACCAATTGCAGTTAACATGTTTAAGTTATTAAAATCCATCTGAAGGCTTAATTTAAAAAAAAGGAGTACATGCTATTTCTAATCCCTTTTTCATTTTCATCCTATCTACCCCAAATCCAATTATTTATATAGGCTGTTTTGATTAAGACAGTATAAAACAGTAAGGAAAAGACATCCTTTGATCAAAGGACTGGAACCCAGCAAGGGAAAGGCAGTCAATCCCTCATTATTCTGATGTTACTTATTTAGTTTCAAATAATCTAGGCCCTTTGGTTTCTCTAATATTTCTCTCTCTCTCTTGGCCATTACACTACTCATTAGCTCAGCAAGTGGGCTACAGAAACGAAGGGAGCCAGAGTCCCCATGGGCAGCTCTCCTGCCCTGTAAGCTAGTGGGTCTGACAACAGCAGGGAGGCTGAAAGAGATGGGACTAAATGATGTTGAGGGACCCTTCAAAGATCTCAATTTCCTTTTCTCTCCCTGATCCTTATTAGCAGAAATAATAAAATCTGTTTCTACCATAATCTGGCTCCATTTAAAGGATGTTTTGAACAAAAGTCTCAGTCTAATTTTTTTTAATTTTGTGAAATATAGAAAAAATTTGAGTTAAGCTAAGAATGTCTGAGTTGTACCTAAATCAAATAAACATCTGCTAGTGAATTATAAATAAAGCTCATAATCACGCATAAGAAATAAATTTATTGTCACACACTGGCAAGTTAAACCATATTCTTTACAAACTCCTTTAAAAAGCATACCGTGCTCTATATAACCATACCTAGTTTATTGGCAATTCTATAGTATGTGTGCTAATATTTGGACAATTTTCTGTGACTTAAAAATAAATCATAGCAATGTGCCAAGAACATGAGGGTTTTTGAAAATCACTTTTGATCTGACCTAGCTAGATCAGATGAGCCCGAAGTTGGGAGTCTGGGGCTTTCCAGAAAGGTAACTTAAGAGTAATTTCATAGACATTTGCATTCTGAACCAGTGCACGGATCTGGTACAACCATGTGGGCCCATCAATGATTTCTCTCAATCTGCCTTTCATTAAAATTTATGAAACACATCAGTGGGTCAAAACTCCAGAGGTGGTGAGACCTTGAACAGCCTTGGATAACAAAGCATGTAGGCAGCAGAAAAACAAAAGCCTCAGGAATTATCCATCTCAGGGCCACTCCCTACTCTAAAGGTCCTCAGGATCAGGCCTTTAAATTACCATCTTCTTTAAAAACAAAATTTTAAAAATCTACACATGCTTTTAAAGGAAAGGCCTTGCACCGGAACAAAGTGTATGTTAAAATAACCCTTTATTAACAAAAGAGGACTAAGAATTGATAAGCCATTATCAAAGAGGACTAAGATTGACAAGCCATTAAATAAACTTCCGCTTCCAGCAAGAGGGAATAACAAAGACCAGATTCACCCTCCCATTTGAAACAGCCCAAAACAAACATATGTTTTTTATATGAAATAAGTTTTAAGGCATGAGAGGAAAATGTATAAAACAACAGTTTTCAAGACACTAGGAAATCCTGTAACAAAAGACAGTGATCCCTGAGAGACAGGAAACCAACCAGCTGAGTTGTAGGACTCACTGTCCCTGCTTAGTATACTCAGATATAGGACCTACATCCAGATGCATGTCTGATTCATTTCATTTTTACCATTTTTTAATTTAAAAAATGCCTTATTTTTGTAAAAGATGATATGAGGGTGTTTCTGAATATACTTTTGGATAAAATCCTATCACCTATGAATATTAACAGCAATTTGGTTTCTTCTTTTAAGTACCTTTATCTATTTCTTTATCTATTTTTTTTTTATCTTACCTGGCTAGAACATCTACTATAAAGTTATCTTATAATAATCATATGGGCATTCTTATCTTCTCTTGATCTCAAAGGGAAGGCTTTCACTCTTTCAACATTAGGTATGGTATTTGCTGTAGGTTTGTGTAGAAACCCTTTAATAGATTATGAAAATTTCCACCTATTATTTTGAGACTTTTGTGATAATCTGTTGATGCATTTTAACCAAAATTGCATGTCCACCCACTGAGATGATAGTATGATTTTTCCCCTTTTAAGTAGTTAATACGATGTTACATTATAAAATTTTAAATATGCCAACCTAGGATAATCCCAACTTGGTCAGGTTTTTATATCTGCTAGATTTAGCTGGCTAATATCCTGTTTAGGATTTTTGCCAACTATATTCATAAGTGAGACTGATAAGTGAGTTTCCTTTCTCATATGGTTATCTGTTAGGCTTCATTCGGCTGGAGAGTGTTCCCCATCTCTACTCTGGAATAGGCTGCTGTTGTTGAATGGCAGGTAAAACTTGACAGCAGAAGCATCTGGGCCTGGAGTTTTGTTTGAAACAAGATTTTTAATGACTTCACTGCTTTAACTGTTACAGGATTATTTAGACTTTCTAATTCTTAAGTCAGTTTTGATAAATGATATTTTTCTAGATATTTATTGTCTAAATGTCCATATTTATTGCCATAAAGACGTTCCCATGCCCTCCTCTACTCATCTTAATCTCTGTGCACATAACTTTTTTTTTCTACTAATACTGTTTGTATCATCACTCTAGTTTCCCTTCATTGAGCTCACCTGACATTTGTCCATTTTATTACTCTTTTCAAAAACCAACTTGCCTGCAACTCTGTATTGTCTGCTTGCTTTCTGCTTCATTAATGTCTGTTCACTTCCTTGCATTTTCTTTCTTTGGGCTTATCCTATTGTTCTTTTTCTAGTTTAAATTACTTGCTTAACTGATTGTGTTTCTTCTTTTCTAACGTAAGCATTCAGTGTTACAAATGTTCTTCCAAGTGTCACAGGTTTTGATATGTTCTCATTCAGTATTAAAGTTTTCCTAGTTTCCATTACAACCTCTTTTATGATCTTACCTTTGTCTGAAGTCTTTAGAATTTCCTTCATGGATAGTCTGTTGTAGCAAGCTTAGTCAGTTTGTGTGACTGAAAAGTCTTTATTTTACCTTCATTCTTCAAAGATTATTTCACTGGGTATAGATTCTTGATGGACAGCTATTTTTGCACAGCACATTAAAAATAACATTTTGCTATCTCCTGGCTTACACTGTTGCTGTCAAGAAGTCAGGTGTCTATAGAATCATTGTTTTTTTGGTAAGTAGTCTGTCTTTTTTCTGGTTGATTTCTAAATCTCTTTGAGGTGCTCTGCAGTACTGAACTTGACACTGAGTCTGCCTATTTCTTCATCCTCTTTTTCTTTCATAACCTACTGATCTTCACTAGAATTTCTGAACCATGTGGCATCCTGTTCACTCTGGGAAATTCTGAGTGATTCTCCAAATATTCTTTCTGCCATTTTCTCTTACCTCTCCTTTTGGAGTTCTTTGTCTCAACTGTGCTGTGTTCTGGATAATTTTCTAAGATCTACTGTTCCATTAACTAATTCCCTTTCCAACTGTGCTTAATGTCCTGTTAATCCAATCTTTAAAAGTTTATTTCAATGACTGTTTCATTTCTGGTTCTATTTGATCTGTTTTCAAAATGGTTTTTTCGTTTTTATAATTTCTTGGCTATGTGCTCATTTTCTCCATCTCCTTTTCTTTCAACTTATTAAACATATTTATGTAACAGTCTGTGTCTGATAATCCCACAGTCTGCAGGCTTTGTATTTACTACCCTTTTGCTGCTCCTACTAGCTCTCTCTGTGTTCCATTTCCTAGAGTGCTTGGCAACCTCTGACTCTGAATGCATATCCCTTGGAACTTTACCTGCAGGAATTGGGCCCTGTGTGGAAAGTGGGTTCCTCCTCTACTGTGTCTGCCAGAAACCCGGAGGTGCTTATCAACCTGGGATCACTTGAAACTAAAAGCTTGGCTTGATACTGTATAGGATTCCTAGTTTCTGCTGTCCTGAATTTTATTAAATGTCCTATAGTAAGACTTCTGAGTCTAGATAGTAGCTTGAATATCTGCAACTAATCTCAGTCTTACCTCATTAACATAATAGTGAAAAGAAACTGTTTAAATTTTCTTGTTTAAATTTGGAACTGGGAAAATAGATGAGTGGCTGATAGCTAAATGAGCAGCAGAGAAAGCAGACAATAATCAAGGTGTACCACAGAAGCCCTCCAGTTCTCAAGACTGATGACATCAAACTCCTCTGGAAGTAGGGGTAAAATTAAGAAAGCAATAAAAAGTAAAGAAAATTAACTAATAGTGAATCTTATTTCCTACCCTTTAGAAGGGCATACCTTGACAATACCCTTGAAGACTGGGTTCCAGCTACACCTCATGCAGGTTTTGGCTTCAGGATCCCTGCTTCTGTGGTCCCCTCTGCCTGTAGAGTCCATGCCCTACCCCTACTCCACCTGGATAATTCAGGATATAGTAAGTGTCCAACAAATATTTGTTTGAACTAACATAAGAACTACAGGACCATGATCCATCCCCATATTAAAAAAAAAAAAAAGACTAATTGAAGCCCTTTAGGAGGAGTTAGATCCTGAGATTTTTCTCCCACATTCTGCATATTTTCATCATGTTTCCCACTCCAGCAAAAGGCTAGAAGTATCTTTCTTCTCCAGGGAGGTCATCAGGCCCAGATAAAGGCATGGGGCCATACTGAAAACAGGGGGATCTAGTAAATGTATACATTCTGGATGCTGAGACTGCCAACCCTCTTCCTCTCTGGTCTCAGACTTTTGTATCCAGAGGTTAAAAGAAGTGCTCCAGTGAACTGGACCAGCCAAGAAGTAAGATTTAGATACCAACATCAAGAGATCTCCAACAAGATGACCAAATCATATCATTCCACCA